CTCAGACAATAAGTGATTATCAAGGTGTTAATAATATTTCTATACATCGTGCTAATACAACTACTATTCACATCTGCTATCTGATATTAGCCCCGTATTGCTTGTAATTAAGACCGACTCGCATCAACCCTTAATTATCTTCAGATTCTCGAAACCATATGTCCGAGTGTCATCAACTACATAATCTATTACGAACTGCGTCTAATACCTTGATTGCAATAACCAGTTTTGTCAAGGGCAATAAATATACCATTTATACAAAAAATCACATATATCAAAATTTTTCAGATCAAAGTAAAGTTATTACGAACTTCGTCTAATATCTTGATTGCAATAGCCAGCTTTCTTGTATCACAGAATGCAGTGATTTGATTGCAGACCTATACTAAAAAAGATAGAGATTGCAAACATTATGGCTTATGGTTTCCAGATTTTCTGTCGAGGGTGCTGATTTGTTGCATTCGGTACCCGTACAATCCAATAAAACAGTCACATTGTGAAGATGGTATGTCGTAGAATACAATGTTTCGAAACTTCGATACATGGAATTTTTTTTTAAAGATAGCTTGCCAGGCAAGGAAATGTGAACTGACGGATAGGACATTTCTATGAGGGCGTATAAAACTGGTACTTGGTCAATTCGCATTTTGATAAATTAGTCAGGAAGTAAGGTACGAATGGTCAAACGAATGGCGTACATGTATTTATTCATTTAAGGTGCGGTTTTTTTTCACAGTATAGTGAGAAAATTGCGAAATATTTTGGTGGATTGACAGTTTCAAGTTTCAATGTATACGTTGTGAATTGTTATCTAAACATGTGCTATGTGATAAGCGTCACATATTCCACAAACCAGTTAATTAGCCGTCAAGTTATGAATTTCTTTGGTACGTTACCTTATTATTGGAAAATCTGCGAAAAACAAGCATAATAGGTGACATTAATATTGGTTCATTAGATATTAATATATCTGTATATTGGTGAATATATAACACACAAACACATCTTTGTTCAAGACTATGATCATATTTTAGACTTATTCTACCACAGAAAAAACTCTCATCTCATATGATTTACCGTCTTTTCAACACTTCGGAAACTATTACATATTACCATTGTAAGAGTCTAGTCCTTCGAATATGACAATAAACCTCATGTGCCACAGGTTGTGCACGTTAAAGAACCCTCGACAGTGCCGTTATACTAGACATCTTTACCTCATTGTTCACTGCATGGCGTCGCCTGTCTTATTTAGCCAAGTAGGTTCCTACAATTAGGACGTAAAACTTCATTCATTTATTGATAAGGGGTTTGGTTTTTAGAACTCTGAAAATGTTAATAAATATTGATTAATGATGATATGTCTTTTTTTGGTGCAAATTTGTGCAGATTTTTGGGTATGTGGTAGGTTTTTCTGTATGTCAATTGCTAGCATATTACCAAAATTTTATCTATGAGATTTTCAATATCTATATCTTTAATATAATATATTTTTTCACATTTGTGTCATAATCAAGGAAAATGATTACACTTCATTGTCTAATATTTAAACCGGATTATCTTCAATAAGGACCAATCCAGGGTTGACTTATTCCCAAATGTGTCACCGACTCGTTCACATATTATCTCATTAGTCTGTAGTGTTAATAACCCTTTAGTGAACTGGGCTCAGATCATTGTTATGATGTTCACACCTTTCTGAAGTGTGAACGAAAAGTTTCATCTTATAACATAGCCGGCAGATATTGTCCGCATTTCTAATAATGAGATCGCAAGACATACTTGAAATATTAGTAACTCGACAATTATTGAAAGAATTATTTTCTTTAGTAACGTAAGGATTGGTTATCGACATATTAATTGAACTAAGACTACACAATGGAATCACAGGTAAGTTTTGAGATAAAGATTTAATTTAAAAGAAAGTTTGTAGGCTAGCTACATTCTTAGAACAGGATTAGTGACTTTACCCTTTTACCATTTTGGTTTTTGATTTTATCGTGAAATGATCTTTGCTTTAAGAACTTCATTTGGATATTGATTTTTCAAAAAAACTGTCCGATTCATTTCGCCTTACCGTTACTTATTTGGTTTAAAGTGTGTGCGGTCACTAGGAAGAAAGTCTAATTCGAGTCATCAATAACTCACAAAACCAAGCACACTTTAAATCTTTAA